TATTTTTAATAGAGATGGAGTTTCACCATCTTGACCAGGTTGATCTCGAACTCCTGACCTCGTGATCTGCCTGCCTTGGCCTCCCAGCATGCTGGGATTACAGGCGTGAGCCACTGCACCCGGCCCTAAAGTAGATTCTTAACTGATTTATTTTTCTCTTATTCTTTTTTTTTTGAGACAGCATCTTGCTCTGTTGTCCAGCGTGGAGTGCAGTGGTGCAAACATGGAACACGGCTCACTGCATCATCAGCCCCCAGGGCTCAAGTGATGCACCATCCTCAGCCTCCTCAGTAGCTGGGACTACAGGTGTGCGCCACCATACTTGGCTACGTTTTGTATTTTTTTGTAGAGACAGCATTTATATTGCCTAGGCTGGTCTCAAGCTCTTGAGCTCAGGTGATCCACCTGCCTTGGCCTCTGAAAGTGCTAGGATTACGGGTGTGAGCCACTGCACCTGGACTTTTTCTATTTTTTCTCTTTTTTTTTTTTTTTTTTCTGTGAGACGAAGTCTCACTCTGTCGCCCAGGCTGGAGTGCAGTGGCATGATGTCGGCTCACTGCAACCTCTCCCTCCCGGGTTCAGACAATTCTCCTGCCTCAGCCTCCCAAGTAGCTGGGATTATAGGCATGCATCACCACGCTTGGCAAATTTTTATATTTTTAGTAGAGACGGGGTTTCACCATGTTGGCCAGGATAGTCTCGATCTCCTGACCTCGTGATCCGCCCACCTCGGCCTCCTAAAGTGCTGGGATTACAGGTATGAGCCACTGCGCGCATCCTGGTCTTTTCTATTCTTATCACTCTCTAATCTGCAACTAGACTGCTCTTTCTAAAATGCTGCTGTGTGATCTGTTTATTCCTCTCCTTAGAACCCTTCCATGGCTTTCCATTCACTGTCTTAGAACAAGTCCCAACTCCTTAACCTGCTCACAAAGCCCCAAAAGTCCTCTGAGGCTTGGTTGCCTCATCCGTAAATGTTTAGAATCTCTTTCAGCTTTGTGAGGTACGTAAATGAAAGGACAACATGTAGAGTGCCTGGTACATAGTTGGCGCTCATTAAATGTGTCTGTATTTTTAATACATGTATATTGAATGAATGAATGAAACTGGTAGAGGGGGACACGGGATCAGATAAATCTGACCCACATTTTCCTCCCTTATCAGGCGTGATGTGGGCCTTTTTGGGGTGCTAAATGAAATTGCAAACTCAGAAGAAGAGGGTAAGTATTTTTCTCTCCAGCCTTTGCTCGTTTTGTGATTATCTTCCCCTCCATATTCTTGAACTCACCTGACATCTGTTGGCCCAGCCTCTTTTAGCTGTATTTTTCCTGTCATCTTCTCTCCTCTGCCTACCCAAATAACCCAGAGTGGGTGTCCAGAGTGGGTGTCCAGAGTGGTGGGTGTCCAGAGTGGTGGGTGTCCAGAGTGGTGGGTGTCCAGAGTGGTGGGTGTCCAGAGTGAGATGTTGAGAGTACTTACTGGGCAGAAGGACCTGGGGAGTGCCTGTCCTTCCTTGTCTTTCACCTAGAGGGTACCTGGTAAGAGGCCTCTGAATGGTTTAATCAGAGCTGCTTCCTCAACCCTACAGTGTTTGAGTGGGTGAAGACGGCATCCGGCTGGGCTCTGGCACTCTGTCGATGGGCCTCTTCCCTCCATGGGTCCCTGTTCCCCCATCTGTCTGTAAGTTTGGCTTCCTCCCCAGCCCTCTGCAGTTGCTGCGTCCCCATCCTACTCTGCCCCCATTCCTATCCTTGCAGGTCAGGGTTGGGTGTGATGACTTCAGAAGGTAGGAGTGGTCCAGCTCCCGGGTAGGAATATTGAGGGGATGGGCTCCTTTTGCCCCAGTGTGTCCTCTGTCTACTTTGTTCTTACAGCTCAGGAGTGAAGATCTGATTGCTGAATTTGCCCAAGTAACAAATTGGTGAGTGCACAAGCCCTGGAGCTTTGTGGGAAGGAAGTCCTGAACCTCGAAACTTCCTCTGGGGAGAAGGCAAAGACTCCTACTCCTTTTCTGATTGCTCACCATGTTCTCATTCCTTCTGTCCCCCCAAAAAAGAGAATACAAGAAAAAGTAGAGAAAAACCATGTCCTTACTGGAAATGAATGTGAGCTTCTGGTCTAGGGTAGGGGTAGGTGCAGGAACTCTTCATGTTAACCCTTCCTTAGGTCCAGCTGCTGCTTGCGTGTCTTTGCGTGGCACCCCCACACCAACAAGTTTGCAGTGGCCCTGCTAGATGACTCAGTCCGTGTGTATAATGCTAGCAGGTATGTGTGGAGACACCAGGTGGGCTCTGACTTGTCAATATCATCTTCCCTTGCCAGCCTTGGTCCCGGGAAGTCCTGTAGTTCCTGAACCTGGTTCATAGGGCTCCTTCCAGAACTGGGGTCAGAGAAACTCGATAACTGGATATGTGCTTTTTCTAGACCTAACCTTTATCCTTTCCTGTCCCATAGTGCCCCTGGCCCCTAAATGAATCCTCCTTCTTCTCTCTGACTTTCCCTCCTTGACTGCACTCTGGTCGCTGGAGCCTTAGTGTTCCTGTCTTGACTCAGTTTCTTATCCCTTCACCCTAGCACCATAGTCCCCTCCCTGAAGCACCGGCTGCAGCGAAATGTGGCGGCTCTGGCCTGGAAACCTCTTAGTGCCTCTGTCTTGGCTGTGGCCTGCCAGAGCTGCATTCTCATCTGGACCCTGGACCCTACCTCCTTGTCTACCCGGTAAGTCTTAGTAGCCTGTCTTATCTTGGCCTGAGAGTTATGCAATGCTAGGCATGGTGGGTGGTGAGGAGGTCTGAAAGGAGAAGTTCTTTGTCCTCACAGCACTTCCCAGGGCTATGGGAAAAGCAGATGTAAGATAAAAGTGGGTTGCTGAGAATAATCTGGAGAAAGAGACAGAACTAGGGGCTTTTTGGATTGTGGGGACAATGTGTCTGTGGGTTATGGGGTGGAAAGACTGTCTTTCAGAGGACTATGAGGAGACTTGGAGGAAGTGTGAAGAAAATTAGTGCTGATAACATCAGAAACTAATGAAATTAGAAAAAGCATACCTGTGAGAACTAACTAAAAATAAAACCAGAAATTGGTTCTTTAAATTATGAATAAGCTGGGTGCTGTGGCTCATGCCTGTAATTCCGACACTTTGGACTGTGGAGGTGGGTGGATCAGCTGAGGTCAGGAGCTCGAGACCAGCCTGGCCAACATGTCACTACTAAAAATACAAAAATTAGCTGGGCCTGGTGGTGTGCACCTGTAGTTCCAGGTACTTGGGAGGCTGAGGGAGGAGAAACGCTTGAATCTGGGAGATGGAGGTTGCAGTGAGCCGAGATCATGCCACTGCACTCCAGCCTGGGCAATGGAACGAGACTCTGTCTAAAAAAAAAAAAAAGAAAAAAAAATTAGGAATAAGGCTGCGGACAGTGGCTCACACCTGTAATCCCAGCATTTTGGGAGGCCAAAGCGTGAGGATCACCTGAGGTCAGGAGTTTGAGACCAACCTGGTCAACATGGTAAAACCCATCTCTGCTAAAAATACAAAAATTAGGCCAGGCACAGTGGCCCATGCCTGTAATCCCAGCACTTTGGGAGGCCAAGGTGGGTGGATTTCTTGAGGCCAGGAATTTGAAACCATTCTGGCCAACATGGTGAAACCCCATCTCTACTAAAAATACAAAAAATTAGCCGGACGTGGTGGTGCATGCCTCTGATCCCAGCTACTCGGGAGGCTGACACACAAGAATCACTTGAACCTGAGAAGCGGCGGTTGCAGTGAGTTGACATCACACCACTGCAGCTGCACTGTGGTCTGGGTGACAGAGTGAGACACTGTCTTTTTTGCTTGGTTTTTGGAGACGAGTCCGCTGTCGGTGGCGTGCGTGGTCTCGGTTTGGCAAGCTCGCCCTCCGTTCACCCAATTCTCCTGCCTCCAGCCTCCCGAGTAGCTGGGCACAAGGCCCTGCCACCCCCGACACTGTCTTAAAAAAAAGAAAAGCCGGGTGCCGGTGGCGTCATACCTGTAAATTCGCACGCACTTTCGAGAAGGCTGAGGCCAGGTGGATCATGAGACTCAGGAAGCTCGAGACCATCTGCTACCACGGTGAACCCCATCTCTACTAAATAAAAAAATCAACTGCGGCGTGGTGGCGCTGTCGTAGTCCTCAGCTACTCGGAGGCTAAGGCAAGCGAGAGTCACTGAACACTGGGAGCAGAGGTTGGCAGTACAGTGAGCCGAGATGTGCCAACCGTACCTCCCTCCTGGGCAACAGAGCAAGAACCTATCTCAAAAACAAAGTGTATGTGTGTGTGTGTGCGGTACATATATATCATGCTACATTATATATATGAATAAAGAAAAAACCTTCTGGTCACCCTAATTAAGGGCAGAAAAACCAAAGTATACTATTTCAGAAGTGGAAAGATATAGATATGGTAGAAATAGGAATTGTAAGAGTATTATGGACATGTTTAGGCCAAACAATTTGAAAATCTGAAGGAAATGTTTGAATTTTTTTTGTTTTGTTTGTTTGAGATGGAGTCTCGCTCTGTTGTTCAGGCTGGAGTGCAGTGGCGTGATCTCGGCTCACTGCCAGTCTCAGCCTCCCGGGTTCAAGCGATTCTTCAGCCTCAAGCGTCCCAAGTAGCTGGGACTACAGGCATGTGCTAACTAATTTTTGTATTTTTTTTTTTTTTTTTTTTTTTGAGAGGAGTCTCGCTCTGCCGCCAGGGCTGGAGTGCAGTGGCGGATCTCAGCTCACTGCAAGCTCCCGCCTCCCGGGTTCACGCCATTCTCCTGCCTCAGCCTCCGGAGTAGCTGGGACTACAGGCGCCGCCGCCACCTCGCCCGGCGCCTAGTTTTTGTAATTTTTTAGTACGAGACGGGTTCACCGTGCTCTAGCCAGGACTGGTCTCGACGTCCTGACTCGTGATCCGCCCAGTCTCGGCCTCCACAAAGCTGCTGGTATTCAACAGCCTTTGAGCCACCGCGCCCGGCCTAATTTTTGTATTTTTATTAGAGATAGGGTTTCACCATATTGGCCAGGCTGGTCTTGAACTCCTGACCTTGTGATCCGCCCGCCTTGGCTTCCCAAAGTGCTGGGATTATAGGAGTGAGCCACTGCGCCCTGTGGAAATGTTTGATTTTCTAGCAAAATATAAGTTACCAAAGTGGATTGTAGAAGAAAATAATGAGTTTTTTTTTTTTGGGGGGGTCAGAGTTTCACTCTTGTTGCCCAGGCTGGATGGAGTGCAATGGCACAATCTTGGCTCACTGCAACCTCTTCCTCCCGGGTTCAAGGGATTCTCCTCTTGACCTCATGATCCACCCGCCTCAGCATTCCCAAGTGCTGGGATTACAGGCATGAGTCACCGCGCCCGGCCTGTCCTCCCTTTTTTTGTTGCAGGATCTATCCTGATTTGTTTTTATAAAGCTAATGTAACACTAATACCTAAACCTTGACAGTAGGTACTATAAGAAAAAAATACATAATCACAGATTTTTTTTCTTTTTTTTTTTTTTGAGATGGAATCTCACTCTGTCGTCCAGGCTGGAGGGCAGGTGGCGCAATCTCAGCTCACTGCAACAACTTCTGCCTCCTGGGTTCAAGCGATTCTCCTGCCTCAGCCTCCCAAGTAGCTGGGACTACAGGCGCATGCCATCACAGGCCAATTTTTTATTTTTAGTAGAGGCGGGGGTTTCACCATATTGACCAGGCTGATCTCAAACTCTTGACTTCAGGTGATCCGCCCGCCTTGGCCTCCCAAAGTGCTGGGATTTCAGGCATGAGCCACCACACCTGGCCTGTTTTTTGGTTATTTTAGAGATGGAGTTTCATTATGTTGCCCAGGCTGGGATGAAGTGGTTATTCACAGACTCAGTCATCGCACATTACAGCCTTGAACACCTGGGCTCAAGTAAGCCTCTAGCCAAGTAGCTGGGACTACAGGTGCATACACCACGCCTGGAAGGTTGTTGGTTTTTTTGTTTTTGTTTCTACTAAAAATACAAAAATTAGCTGGGTGTGGTGGCGCGTGCCTGTAATCCTGGCTACTCAGGAAGCTGAGGCAGGAGAATCGCTTGAACCCAGGAGGTAGAGGTTCAGTGAGCTGAGATAATGCCATTGTACTCCAGCCTGGGCGACAAGAGCGAAACTTGATTTTTAAAAAATTTTTAAAATAAATACATGAACAAAAAACAAGGCCAGGCACGTGATGGTTCATGGGTGTAATTCCAGCACTTTGGGAGGCTGAGGCAGATGGATCACTTGAGCCTAGGAGTTTGAGACTAGCTTGGGCAACATAGACACTATACAAAAAATAAAAATGAAAAAACTAGCTGGGCGTGGTGGTGTACATCTGTAGTCCTTGCTACTTTAGAGGCTGAGGCTGAGGCAGGAGCCTCAGGAGTTTGAGGCTGCAGTGTGCTATGATCGTGCCACTGCACTCCAGCCTGGAGTGTGAACCACCATGTCTGGCCCAGGAGATATTTTTTACAGCATTATGTATAATAAAAAATTACAAACAAGTCAAATGTCCATTTGTAGAGGCAGGACTGAATAGATTGTAGTTCATCTATTGAGTGGTATACAGTGGAGCCACCGAAAAGAATGAGATGAATCTGAACCCACCTGCAAAGGCAGCTGTGATTTATTGTAAAGTTCAAGAGAATTAAATTGTACATCTGTGACTAAGACTTCACTGGAGCTGAAGGTGGTTATAGTTAGGTAGAAAGAGAAGGTGGCATTAATTCAGGTAGTAGCCTTCATCTGTCAGTCCAGGCACATGACTCTGGAAATACACAGCTGACACACAGCTGCAGACACACGGCAGGCGCCCTCAGGTAGTTCCCTGCTGGTGATGGAGGCTGAGCCACATGCAGCATCTTTATGATAAGCAGCAAACGCAGGAGTGCAAAGGTGGGAGGCGCTCTGATAAGGCAAAGCAGGAGGGCTGTTTCGGGGCACAGGGTGTGTTCTGAGGAGTGTTAGATAACTCTGGAGAGAAAAGGTTGGAACCTTGAAGTAAGGTCATAGATTATCCCTGGTTGGATGGATGGCCAGGCTGGATGGCCAGGGTGGATGGCCTGTGGGCAGATAGCTGTGTTCTGGGGTGGGGCCTAATACCACCCCAGGGCAGTACCTTCTAGGTTTCTGGTTAGGTTTTGCCTCCTCATGGCCTATGGTGAAAGCACTCTCTTTCACCCTGGCCTGAGATCTTGAAATCACCTCTTCTCTGTTGACCTGCTCGTGATTTGGCCTTTTTTCCCCTTCACTGTTTTTTTCTTTTTCTTTTTTTTTTTTTTTGAGACGGAGTCTCGCTGTGCTCCCAGGCTGGAGTGCAATGGCGTGATCTCAGCTCACTGCAAGCTCCGCCTCCCGGGTTCACGCCATTCTCCCGCCTCAGCCTCCCAAGTAGCTGAGACTACAGGCGCCTGCCACCACGCCCGGCTAGTTTTTTGTATTTTTAGTAGAGACGGGGTTTCACCATGTTAGCCAGGACAGTCTCGATCTCCTGACCTCGTGATCCACCCGCCTCAGCCTCCCAAAGTGCTGGGATTACAGGCTTGAGCCACCGCGCCCGGCCTGTTTTTTTCTTTTAACTTCCACAATCCTTATTCCTTTTTCCCAACCTGGATTTGAGTCCAGAACGGGCCATCATGATAGGAAGTTTTAGCAGGAGGCAAAGAAATAGAATTTTGGGGATGGTTTCTTGTCATCTCCTGACTCCATATCCTCTGTGTTCCCCTGCAGACCCTCTTCTGGCTGTGCCCAAGTGCTGTCTCACCCTGGGCATACACCTGTTACTAGCTTGGCCTGGGCCCCCAGTGGGGGGCGGCTGCTCTCAGCTTCACCCGTGGATGCTGCTATCCGGGTGAGTGGGTCCCTGCCCCTCATGTGCATTTCAGTCCTGGCAAAAGCGTTCCTCACTCGGTGGTGGAAACATCTTGGGGGAAGGAGGAGGGACCTTGGTTCATTCAGTCTTAAACTTACCCAGAGAGGAGCTTTGCCATCAGACTCATGAGGTTTAAAATTCCATTCTCTGTAATCATTAGCATGAACCTGTGCCTCATGTTTCACAGTCCCTCTCCTGCTTCCTGTCGTTTCTGGCTCTGTGTACATTAGAGAGGCCAGCCCTCTGAGAGATGATAGGGTGCTTGAGTTTTCCCTTATCTTTTGCCCCACTCTCCTAGGTATGGGATGTCTCAACAGAGACCTGTGTCCCCCTTCCCTGGTTTCGAGGAGGTGGGGTGACCAACCTGCTCTGGTCCCCAGATGGCAGCAAAATCCTGGCTACCACTCCTTCAGCTGTCTTTCGGTGAGTGGGAGGAGGATGGAGGGAGGACAAGGACCTAGAGAAAGGCACTTAGCTCCTGGAAGCTCTGTCAAGGGAGGTGGGTCCAAGTTTTAGAACTTAGAGGTCCTGAGCTGTAATTTGCTTTTCTCTGGCTTAGAGTCTGGGAGGCCCAGATGTGGACTTGTGAGAGGTGGCCTACTCTATCAGGGCGCTGTCAGGTAAGAGGGGACTCTGATTGACAGACGCTGGGGAGATGATTCCAATGGGCCCCTGATGCCCCCAAGCCCGGCCACCTCTACTTTCCCTCCTGCATTCTACTGTAGACATACCTTCTCCTGCCTTTTGCTCCCTGACCCCAGACTGGCTGCTGGAGCCCAGATGGCAACCGACTGCTGTTCACTGTATTGGGAGAGCCACTGATTTACTCCCTGTCTTTTCCAGAACAATGTGGTGAGTTAGGGCAACATTTCAGCATTTGGGGTGGTCAGAGGGAGGCAGCAACCTTTGGTAAGATGCAGCTCTGAGGGATAAAGGGAAATATAGAAGCTTAGGAAATTTCGAGGTGTTGATGCCTTTGGTGAGCTGGCGGGGGACCAGTGAGAGGCCTGTTTCTTGCAAGAACCTCTCTGCTCTTATCCATCCACAGGTGAGGGAAAGGGGCGCGTTGGAGGTGCAAAGTCAGCAACAATTGTGGCAGATCTGTCTGAGACAACAATACAGACACCAGATGGTGAGGAGAGGTGAGCTGAGTGGTTGAGGGAGTAGCAGTGAAAAGCAGATGGGAGGGACCACACTGAAACTCTCCTAATCTGTCCTCACTCACAGGCTTGGGGGAGAGGCTCACTCCATGGTCTGGGACCCCAGTGGGGAGCGTCTGGCTGTGCTCATGAAAGGTAAGAGGCAAGGATGAAGGGCTCAGCCTACAGCCATCTTCCCAATTAATCTAGTGAGGCCATGCCCTGGCTTGGAGTTCTCCTCTGCCCCTGTCCTGGGACTCTGTCTTCAGAGTTCCTCCCCTATCCCTGGATCCATTTCTTACAGGAAACCCAAGAGTACAGGATGGTAAACCAGTCATCCTCCTTTTTTGCACTCGAAACAGCCCTGTGTTTGAGCTCCTTCCCTGGTAAGTGCCATGTGGGCCCTTAGGTCTGGACTTCTCACCAGCCTTCCTGCACAAAACCCACATCCCACTACATGCAGCTTCCCTTCTGCCTCCGGTTGCCTGCTCACCTTTTCTTCTAGTGGCATTATCCAGGGGGAGCCAGGAGCCCAGCCCCAGCTCATCACTTTCCATCCTTCCTTCAACAAAGGGGCCCTGCTCAGTGTGGTGAGTGCGCCAGGCTGCTGGGGCTTCCAGGAGTTGGATGGAGAAGCTAAGGGCCTTGGCTGCTGTATGGCTCTGCCAGATGGCCCTTCTTTGGGCCCAGGCTCTGATCCTTTTCTTTCCCTTCTCTGCAGGGCTGGTCCACAGGCCGAATTGCTCACATCCCGCTGTACTTTGTCAATGCCCAGTTTCCACGTTTTAGCCCAGTGCTTGGCCGGGCCCAAGAACCCCCTGCTGGGGGTGGAGGCTGTATTCATGACCTGCCCCTCTTTACTGAGACATCCCCAACCTCTGCCCCTTGGGACCCTCTCCCAGGGCCACCACCTGTTCTGCCCCACTCCCCACATTCCCACCTCTAATAAAAAATAAGTTTTCCTTTTGTTTTCCACTCAGTTACCAGTCTGTCTTTTCCAGGGAGTTGCATTGGGGTAGAGTAGGGGGAAAAAGCATGGACTTTGAGTTAAGGCCCTGTTCTGTCACTTTTTAGCCACTTGTGAATTTGGTCACGTTAACCCTATAAACTGTATGGATTCAAATGCTTTGGAAAGCAAGACTGAGAAGTTACTGTGAAGAAAATATATCTAACACAGGGTCTTACATATAAATAGTTGTTTCACTTTTCACAAGTTTCCAGAATGGTGTAGGGCAAGAATGAGTCAAGGACTGGGTCAGTATGAGGTGGAAGGTTTTATTACACTAGGACATTTGTGGGAGGTATGAGCGCTGGGCCAATGTGGCACGGGCCATGTTCAAGGCACCCTCTCGGGTGCGGTGACCGCCAATGAAGCCACTTGCATGGACGAAGATGCAGCCAGGGATCCCACTGACCTGGTCCAGGGCCTCGTCCCGAAGACCCCGCCATGGCTCTGGTAGGGGCAGCCTACAAGCGGGCAGAAAGAGGGAGCAGAGCAGAGGTCAGAATTGGCAGCCTTCTCTTAACAAGGCTGAGACAGGCCTGAAGGTCAGTAGGGTGGTTCCCTAGGGTCTCACCGGCTTTGGAATGAGTGGGGCTCCTTGGGCACACACTGTACTCGCCACTGTCCAGCCTGGTCAGTGTAGATAACAAAGATGATGGCCACTGGAGGGGACAGCCCAGATTCCAGGTGGTAGAGATGCTCCTTCCAGGGACATCCACCTTTCGCCAGTTCCACAATCTCCCCACTTGGGTCCACCTGAAAGAGGGAGAGGATAGCGAAAAGGTTTAAGGTAGGCTGGGCATGATGATCATGCCTGTAGTCACAACACTTTGGTAGGCTGACGTGGGAGGATCAATTGAGCTCAGGAATTTGAGACAAGCCTAGGCAACAAAGTGAGACCCTGTCTCTACAAAAAATACAAAAATCAGCTGGGTGAGGTGGCGTGTGCCTGTAGTCCCAGCTACTCAGGAGGCTGAGGTGGGAGGACTGCTCGAGCCCAGGAGGTTGAGGTTGTCTGCCACTGCACTCCAGCCTGGGTGACAGAGAGACAGAGATCCCATCTTCAAAAAAAAAAAAAAAAAAGAAAAGGTTTAGGGTTTAGGGTAGAAGCAGGAGCACCTGTTGATTGGCAGTCAGTAATCCCCAAGCCACAATGCCGCCTCCAAGGCCTATACCTGGAATCGCTGGGCAAGGGCCTCTTCCACCAAGGCCCGGGCTGGCAGCCAGCTGTGTTGGTAGAAATCTAATCTCTGCAGAAACTCCTCTTGAACCAGATCCATTGCACGCTTGAACCCTGCCTGGGAATGATGAGAATCAGAACCAGGGTGCTGGCGCAAACTTGGAATTTGCTAGGGCTTAGGAGGAATAAATGCTTCCATTTCCCCCCGCCCAAGGTTCTTACAGGTCTCAGGGTTTCCTCCCACGCCACCTTACCTCAGTGTCTTGGTCAGGTTGGTTCCAGGTAGGATTAAGTCGAGCAACTCGTGCACTCAGGGTAGTGGTCAGTGCATATCGAGGCTCCCCCTCTGCCCACTGGGAGATCCCATTGTCCACCGCATCCACCTCCTCCACAAAGTTCTCATACATCTAAGGCAGCAGCAGGGGAAACTTTCTTGAGGCTACCTACTATTTATGTGAAGTCTTACATGATTCAAAGTATGTTCATACACACTCTTTCAGCCCTGTGAGGATCTCTCAACATAACTGGATGAGAAAAGGGAGAACTGGCAAGTTCAGCAGCTTGCTGAAGCTCAGAAGTCTCATTGTGCTGTGACTGGAATTCAGATCACCTGGTTTCTAATCCATGCTCATTCTGCTGCACAAAGCCCAAACCAAAGCCAACACGTGTGGGGAGGGGACTGCTAACTTTTGAACAAGGAAGAGGGTCTTCCAGGTGCTAGAGGGTCTCTGTGGGAGTGGGTCCCTGTGGTTGAAGGCTGGTAAGTCTCCAGGTGGGGTGGGTAGGTATTCAGTGACATGGTTAATAAGGTGCAGGAGGGGCTCTGGTTGAGAACACAAGTCAAGAGGGAGAAAATGAGTCTGAGATTAGACACCAAAAGCTGGTTGCTGGGTTAGGGTTCCAGGGAAGCCCATAATGTGCCACATGACATCAGCAGTTGTCTCCTGGGTCTGAATAAATGGTAGGATAATGCCTCAAGAGTCTCGGGGCAGAAACTTTATGCAAAATTGCCCTACAAAATAGGCCTCCATAACACTACACCTGTGGTATGTAGAAAAGTGCTACTCTCAGAGCACTGAGAAAGTAACTTCTATGCCCAGCACTTCTTGGTTTGGACCCCAACCTGATGCTCAGTTAAAACATGGGTTTAGGCTTAGGTGGGAGGATCACTTGAGCCCAGGAGTTTGAGTCCAGCCTGGGCAACGTAGCAAGACCCTCTCTACAAAAAATTAAGACATATCATTAGCCAGGCATGGTGGCATGCACCTAGAGTCTCAGCTACTTGGGGGGCTGAGGTGGGAAGATTGCTTGAGCCTAGGAGTTCAAAGCAGCAGCAAGCCATGATGGCACCATTGGACTCCAACCTGGACAACAGTCTCTCAAAAATAAATACATAGGCCGGGCGCAGTGGCTCACGCCTGTAATCCCAGCACTTTGGGAGACCGAGGCGGGCGGATCACGAGGTCAGGAGATCAAGACCATCCCTGGCTAACATGGTGAAACCCCGTCTCTATTAAAAAATACAAAAAACTAGCCGGGCAAGGTGGCGGGTGCCTGTAGTCCCAGCTACTCAGGAGACTGAGGCAGGAGAATGGCGTAACCCCAGGAAGCGGAGTTTGCAGTGAGCCGAGATCCGGCCACTGCACTCCAGCCTGGGCGACAGAGCGAGACTCCGTCTCAAAAAAATATATAAATAAAATAAATAAATAAATAAACACAGGTTAAATTTAGTCACTTGTTAGGGCTGGGCGCAGTGGCTCACACCTGTAATCCCAGCACTTTAGGAGGCGAAAGCGGGTGGGTTACTTGAGGTCAGGAGTTCGAGACCAGCCTGGCTAACATGGTGAAACCCCGCCTCTACTAAAAATACAAAAATTAGCCAGGCGTGGTGGCGGCGCCTATAATCCCAGCTACTCAGGAGGCTGAGGCAGAATTGCTTGAACCCAGGAGACAGAGGTTGCAGTGAGCTGAGATCGTGCCACTGCACTCCAGACTGGATGACAGCAAGACCCTGTCTCAAAAAAAAAAAAAAAAAAAAAAAATTGTCAGTTGTTTAGAAACCCTTCAGCAGTGGAAGGGAAAACTGACCCAGGCAGTCTAAAATCTTGATATTCCAAAAATTCTGTAGTTACAGAGGGCAGAAGATGGGCAAGCTAAAACTGAGAACTGAACTCAACAGCCTACCTGCAAGAAATACAGCTGACTGAACCTAAGCTTTGACTTATAAACAAGTAAGTGTCTGTCCTCAGTAATGTGAGACCTGACTTGCATGCCAGGGCCACTAGCCATATTCCTTCCCCAACAGCAGGAAGCTGCTTGCAGGGGACACTGGTGGAATCCAAAGACAGTTTCATAATACAACTCTTCCCAGCTGAGCTTCCCAATTTATGTGCCACTAGTGAATTACAGGAGTGCCTAATATACGCTTCCCTCAACCTTCAGGGCAGCCAGAACCTCTGAGCCATCTGCTTCTACATATAAGCAGTCTCCCCTCTGTTTACCCAAAGGTGCTGAGCAATTGCTGTTTGTATTTGTCAAGAAAAAGACGGGGTCATGCTGCTTTATGGTTTTCAAAGCCCTTTTCCATATATTACAGCACCCACTTCTCACAACCACCCCAGGATGTAGGCAGGGGAGGTATCACCATGCCCTTGTGAGATGAGCCTGACTGAGGGAGAGGATGAGTGTTGGGCCTGCTATAGGCCAGGAACCCTGCCCCGAGGCCCAGTGCTGAGTGCGAGTGCTGCGTGAGCACTGCTCCCAGGTGGTCTGCCGGAAATGCATGTGGGGGGCATCTCTGTCCTCAGGTCCCCACCTTGTCATAGAGGGTGCCCACCATGCTGTCCTCTTCACTAGTGCCCAGCAACTGGGCCAGCAGCTTGTGCCCGAAGTGCAGATAGATGAGTCCCGCACTGCTCAGCTTGGTCTGCCACGGCTTCCCAGGGGACAGGGAGCTCATGGTCTCTGTAAAAGACCTGAGGAACATAGGGAGGTGGGGCTGAGGTGAGGCACCTTGGCTAGACTCTCCATGCATTCATTCAATGGTTAATTCAATGCTTCCTATCTGCCACATTTTATGTTTTATTAGACATTAAGGATAAAAAACCAAGACACTGGCCGGGCGTGGTGGCTCAAGCCTGTAATCCCAGCACTTTGGGAGGCCAAGATGGGCGGACCACGAGGTCAGGAGATCGAGACCATCCTGGCTAACACGGTGAAACCCCATCTCTACTAAAAAAATACAAAAAAACTAGCCGGGCGAGGTGGTGGGCGCCTGTAGTCCCAGCTACTTGGGAGGCTGAGGCAGGAGAATGGCATAAACCCGGGAGGCGGAGCTTGCAGTGAGCTGAGATCCGGTCACTGTACTCCAGCCTGGGCGACAAAGCAAGACTCCGTCTCAAAAAAAAAAAAAAAACCAAGACACTGTCCTCGCCTTTAGATTCATCTGCCGGAAGCCGACAAACACAACCCCCCGAGTACTCTCACTAGACAAGACGAGGGAAAGGAAGGAAGGGATTTGGAAAGGGTTCAGAGGAGAGCCTTCAGGTCAGTTCTGAAAGATGAATTAGTGGGTGTCCACCAGATAGACAAGGCGTAAAAGAGGAAAAGCATTCCAAGTAGAGGGAACAACATGAATGACGGCTGAGAGACAAGTCTCTTGATAGAACTTCAGGAAAGGCAGCTCAGGTGTGAGACGTGAATGGCAAAAGAAAAAGCTGGAAGGGCAGGCAGGGCCAGACCACTGGACTTTATCTGTGGGTAATCGAAGTCATTGAGGGATTTTAAGCAGGCAGGT